AAATATTATACTACATATATCAATAATTTACTTGGGAGCACAAAGATGCATATGATTACTTCTGTCTGGTGGTGTGAAAGCAGTTAGGGAAATATTAAGAGATGCTGTTTTAGTTGAGCCTTGAAGTTACAGGCTGGCCAGGTAAGGGTTAGAGGGATGAGCAAAGTAATGGAACCATAAAACAATAAACGTTTTAAAGAATGACAGGGCTCAAGTATATAGCTGGGAGAATAAATAAAGTAAAAAGGTACATTGTGGCAGAATGCAAAAAATCTTGAATGCAATGCGAAAAGATTTAGACTTGTTACTAATGTCAGTAGGTTTGGAATCACTAAAGGTTTTTATCAGAAAACTTATGTTTACATCTGTGTTGCAGAAAGGTAACTCTGGCAGTTTGGAGATGGACTGGAGAGAAATGAGATTGAGGCAAAGTACGTATCTGTAATTATAAAATGCTATCCATGTAAGTTATCATAACTGTTATTAATAGTACTTTTTCAAGGCAACTTATGGGTGTAACTTCACTGCCATCTCACGTAGTTTGCCAGAAGGCAAACTAACAAATTTTTACAATTATATATTCCTTGACATTTTATTATTTATTAATTACACCCTGATCACTTTCCCTTCATTTTACCTTTCTCTTCTTCAGTAGTAGCGGCTGTAGATTTTTCAAATAAATTAAAGTTCAAAACACTTTCTCCTTCTGTGGCTACAGAAGGCTTTTTCCTTTCATTTTGTTGATGTGTAATTTTCAGGGCTGGATTGAATACTGGATGGTCTTCTAAAGTTTCCATTTCTATCAAGAAAATAGATGAAGTTTAGTTTCAGATATTTGTTTTTTATGCCTTTTTATTGTACAAAATGGTTCAAAAACAGTTAGCATTCCTTCTTTTTCCTTGTAACCAATTATTTAGTAATTCCTATAAGGAATCTGCACTAGAAGTCAGAGGCAATTTATTAACTTTGACAACATATACTAAAACTTTAAAATAAACTGTGTAATAGATGTAGTAAGCCTAGAAAAACATCTTCATTAGAAATAAATACTCATGGAATTGTATTCACCTTTCTTTCTTGAATGGAGATGGTATTTTGTGGTATTAATTAGGGGCTGGCAAATTGCTGGCCAAATCTAGTCCACTGCCTGTTTCTGATGGCTTACAAGATAGAATGGTTTTTATATTTTCAAATGGTTGAAAAAATAAAAAGAATATTTGGAGAGATGTAAAAATTCATAGTTCAGTGTCCATAAATAATGTTTGATTAGACCACAGCCATTTGTTTTGTATGGTCTATGGCTGCTTTTATGCAGCAGAGTTGAAGAGTTTTGATAGAGGCTCTATGGGCCATGAAGTCTGTAATATTTACTATTTAGCCAGTTACAGAAAAAGTTTGCCAATCTCAGGTATAAACTGTTAGAAAAGAGCAGACATATTAAAAAGAGGCATCATCTATTCTAGGAAAATCAACAAACACAGGACAATTACATTTATACATCTAAGAATTTGAAAGCATTTACCTCTTTGAAATTTCCTTATTTTTTCTTGAGCCTCTTTTTGGCCTTGCTTGTTTTTTTCTAGTTTAAAGGTAGCTGCTTGCTCCTTTGCATCCACAAGTTTTGCTGCAAGGTGCAAATACCTTTCGTTCTGATCCAAATGAAACCACAAGGAAGAAATGAAAAGGAGTGCAAGATTATCTATGGTCAATACAGTATATCAAAACCTGTGATCTAGCAGATCTAATTTTAGGAATTTTTAATAGAGAAATAAAACAAATGCACAGATTTGCAGGTACACAGATGTTTACTGAAGCACTGACTATAAAAGAAAAACTGGAAACCATATGCGGTACATCTTTATAAAGAAAACTTCAATCATTCGAAAATAAAATGAGGAAGCAAAAGAAAGAGAGTAATCCACAGGGAGAAATATTCTTGACACGTTAATAAAATAAAGGAAACTGCAGAATAAAATGTATGCGCTCATTTTTGTAAAAATTGTTTTACAAGTATGTGTAAAGGATAGTACATGTAATAATACTCATCTGAAAGTTACCTTCACATAATCTCTATCTTATGGAAGATAGTCAGGGACACTAAAAAAATGGCTTATAAAGAAAATGGATGTCACAAAACTCAGGGACATGACTCAGATGGGCAAAAACTAGAGAGAGTTTAAATTTAAACTCAAATTACTGTTTTCTCCCTAGGCTAATATTAGTGACAGCAAATTAGAAGCACAAAATCATGGGGTGAAGAAGATGATGGCATATGTGGTGCTGCTATGAACAGAACTGTTAAGAGGAAGGGAAAAGTGACAATTAAGCAAGAACAAGCAGCTGAATTCTGGGACCATTTTGCGTAGAAGCAAATATCAACACAGTATAACAGACAGGAGGGTTAGCTATCTCCAAGACTTTACCCTAATCATATTTATCTTTCCATCTTTCCTGTACTTAGCACTGGTATCACCATCTTTCCACTTAATGCATCTTTTGTCACCTTTGACTCCTTAATTTCTTCCACCCCACAAAATTTACCACCCTAACCATTTTTAAGTGTACAATTTAGTGGTATTCAATACATTCATATGTGGTACAACCATCACCACCATCTATCTCCAGAACTCTATCTGGCAAAACTGAAACTCTCTACCCATTAAACAGTAAATCTCCATCCCCCCTCCCATGTGACTTATGGGTCACATGGTAAGTATATGTTTAACTTTATGAGAAAGGACCAGTTTTCCAAAGTGGTTGTACCATTTTACACTCCCGTTAGCAATATATGAGTGTTGCAGTTGCTCCACATTCTCCCCAACACTCAGTATTACTGATCTTTTTAACTTTAGCCATTTAGATGGATATATAGTAGTATCTCATTTTAGTTTTCATTTCTCTAATGTCTAGTGATGTTTAACATATTTTCACATGTTTATTGGCCATCCATATACCTACTTTTGTGAAATGTCTGTTTCTTAAAAGTTCTTTATATTATTGTGGATTATCTGTTCTTGGTCAGATATATTTATTGCAACATTCTTTCCTATAACTTCTTTTTTCACTTAACAGTTTATTTTCTGCCTTATATTTTTATCTTACCTTATGATGTCTGTTTTCTCTCTACACCGTGAATATAACTTCTTTAGTAAAAGAATGTGCTTTATCCTTTTTATTACTGAAAGAATTTAGCATATTCCTCACACATAACAATCATTTAAAAATAATTGATGATTATGTCGCTAAACATAGAAGAAATATAATTAACATTTATTAAGCAGTTATTTTGTGCCAAGTTTTTACCTAAGTGTCATTTTGTTTAATCTTCACATCAAACCCAGAGCTATTTCTCCGATTAAAAAATCAGGAAACTAATGCTCTGAAAAGTTAAATATATCTTGCCTAGGAATATCCAGCTAGAAGCTTAATACAAATTTCTACTCACGGGGTCAAATTTTTCCTCCTCTTCTAAGCTTTTAGAGTTTTCACTCTTTTCTTCTTCATTTTGTTGTTCAGCATATCGCAAAATCCATTCTTTCATATTTACTTCTATATTTTTTTCTTCCTTTTTTGGCTACAAAGAGAAAACAAATGTTTGAAAAACCAAAGTTAAAAAAAAGGTATCAAAGCTATCTTATCACTGCATTTACAATTTCTTTTTTTTTTTTTTTGAGACAGAGTCTCACTTTGTTGCCTGGGCTAGAGTGAGTGCCATGGCGTCAGCCTAGCTCACAGCAACCTCAAACTCCTGGGCTCAAGCAATCCTTCTGCCTTGGCCTCCCGAGTAGCTGGGACTACAGGCATGCACCACCATGCCCTGCTAATCTTTTCTCTCTCTATATATTTTTAGTTGTCCAGATCATTTCTTTCTATTTTTTAGTAGAGACGGGGTCTCGCTCTTGCTCAGGCTGGTCTCGAACTCCTGACCTTGGGCAATCCACCCGCCTCAGCCTCCCAGAGTGCTAGGATTACAGGCGTGAGCCACCGCGCCCGGCCTCATTTACAATTTCTTCACACTCAAAAATAGCAGACATATAAACCTCAAAAATCATGCTCTATTGTACAGGGAGGGACAAATGAATTGAACTCAACGTTACTTAAAAAAGTCTACACTTGCAGAATCCAAAGAATATGTTTACATAAAGGGGTAAAAAAGAATGAAAGGAGAACTGTTAAAAACTAGTGTTATTCCTTAGAAACAGTGGTTTTATAAGGATGATGCTTCCACAGATGCTTTATAACATGTAAAATATTTAAGTATAATGCCCCAATGAACTACACCTCCCACTATTCATGTCCTTCTGTAATTCCCTTCCACAGACTTTGGCCTTGGCCATGTGACTTGCTTCAATCCATGAGACATTAGTAAGAGTGATAAAGCAGGGGCCTGATAAGAATTTCTACTCTGGGGCTTATTATCTTGAAATACTTGCTCTTGGAAGCCAGATGCCATGTAACAAGTCCGACCACCCTGAGACCACCGTATGTGAAAAAACCCAAGCTAGTCATGTGGAAAGACCATGTAGAGAAAGGGATGCCTGGCTGGCTTCCAGCTGAGGCATTAGTCATGTGCATAAAGAAGCCATTTGGATATTCCAGCCCTAGCAGATACCTCCTGGAACAGAATTGCCTAGCTGTGCCGAGCCCAGAATGCAGAATCATGAGAAATAAATAGTTCGCTTAAGCCACTACATTTTGGGGTGGTTTGTTATGTAACAATTGATAACTGAAACAGATAGTAATAGAAAAATCTGGCAAAACAGTTATTTTTAAGAAGTAAAAATGTTATAGAAATCTAATCTTTATACTCTTATGAACTATTATACATGCTTCACTCTGATTTTATAGAACTTTAAATGCTTAATTCTTAAATTACCTTAATCTTAGGGTCTTCTTCCTGTTTTTTGGTTTTAAGTTGCAATGGAGGTGAAACAGTGGCTTGTATTTGAGGAGACTGGAATTTTGGCCTACTTTTAGATTGCTGCTCTTCAAACTCCTGACTGAATCCTTCAGGAAGTGCATCTTAAAATAACAGAAACTGTGTTGAAAATAAACATGCATATAATCCATAAAAACAAACAAACATTTGTTAAGCATATACATAAACCCAGCCTAGTCTTAAAGCACCTAATTTTCCTCTATGCCCTCCTCTCCCCAAAATAGAAATCCTGTGATATTCCTGGTTTTATCTGTTAAATTAGAAGTGGGTACACTCATTGATGATAGCTAGCCCACTTGTATTTGGCCACTGATTTCACGCTCAATATGTTAAGCTCCTAAATTTTCATAGGAGGATCTTAAGTCTTCCCACCCTTTAGTTGTCTGTCACAGTATGTGGCAGTATCATTAATCAGTGACACAAGCTATAAGCACTCCAGATTCCTGCCAAAGATTGCAACCATGACCCTCTGCTTAATGAAATATTTATCCAAGAATAGCCCTAATTTCTACCAAAAACCAGGAGACACAGCCTAATATGTTACTGATAGGCAAACTTCGAGAATCTGTTGTACTAAGTACACTGTAAAATGAAAGCAACACATACAAAAATTTCCTTCATAGACCACAATCTTAAAGGAGAATATACTGAAAAGAATAGAAAAAGGTAAGAACATTTTAGAAGTAAATAATTACAACAGTGAAAAAACTTAAGTACAAGCCAAAAGGTTGATATAAAAACTAGTTCAAAAGATTTTAGAAACTGAAAAAATTTAATGATGGTTACCATCTGAAAGGTTTAAACAGAGCCAATCCAAGGCAGAATGAAGATCACCTCCATGTAAGAGTGTATTGGTCATTGCATCTTCAATGTCCTTAGTCTTAAATGAAAATGCTTGCAAAGCCATATATAAATCCTATGAAAGCAAAATGTAAGAAAATCATATTTGTCAATTTTCTCTTCTTTCATAACTAATTTTATTTTCTCATTCATTTTAAGCCAGAAATTCTTGACACAGATTCTAATTTCAAAAATATCTTTTTTTTCCCAGTTAGAAGTTAAATGTGTTCATTGAATTGAGAATTTGGAAGGTACAGATATATCTTAAAAAAAAAAAGAGCAGGAGAAATTGTTCATATTCTCACTATCCAAAGACACTATTTGTAATGTAGTATGTTCCTTTTCAGTCATTTTTCTATGATTTTATAAAAAGAAATTTCACGTAACATTATAACATAAATATCTTCCCAAGTTATTAGGAAATTTCATCATCATTTTGAAGTTACATACATATTCCATTGGGCAGGCCTATTATAATTATACATTTTCCTATGGCTGAAAATTTAGGATATTTTCTTTTATTACAAGCAGCGCTTCAACAAACATCTTTATACATAAAGACAAAGCATTTTTTTTTTTTTAGGTTGTGAGGAGGGGTATTCAGTTGCCTTGTTTTTTTATTTTTATTTTTTGTTGAGACAGAGTCTCACTCTGTTGTCCTGAGTAGAGCGCAGTGGCGTCACTGTAGCTCACTGTAACCTCCAACTCCTGGGCTCTAAGCGATCCTTCTGCCTCACAGCCTCCTGGGTAGCTGGGACTATAAACGCTGCAATGCCTGGCTGGGTTTTTGTTTCCTTTTTTTTGGTAGACACGGGGTCTCACTCTTGCTCAGGCTAGTCTGGAACTCCTGAGCTCAAATAATCCTCCTGCCTCGGCCTCCCAGAGTGCTAGGATTACTGGCATGAGCCACAGCGCCCTGCCAAGATAAAGCATTTTAATGTACTTTCTAAAGCATGATCTTTAGAGTTGGGCAGAATTGGGTTCAAATCCAAACTGTTTATGACTTACTAATTAATAACCTTAGGCTATAACTTATTGTCATCTTTCCAAGCCTTAATTCTTTCACTTAAATGGGGCCAAATACATTTACCTTGCAGGATTGCTATGTCAGAGATAATGTAAGCAAAGTGCCCGGGACAGAGTCTAATATAGTAGGTACTCAATAATATAATTTTGGAAATATAACTTGGTTTTCATATCACCATTTTAATCTGTACACCTGTATCTGGCACGATTCCTTCTCTATTCTTGAAGATGGAAATGGCCTACAGAAAATCTCAACGGAAGTTGAAAAAGTCATTTTTGGCTTACATGTGGAACTGTCTTAAAAATGCTCCAGTATAATCAAGGAACTTTTAAAAAGTCTGCAAAATACCTGCAATTTTTTGGCAGTAAGTCTTCCAGAAATCACTCCCTTGTCATTATTTTGCTTTTTATGCTCATTGATCACTCCAATAATTCTTTGCTCGAGTTTGTTATTAATTACCACCTGTTGAAGCCAAAAAGGTCATTATCAATTAGAAGCCAAACTATTAAAAAACCAGAAGCAAACCATAGAATTTTCTATATTTCTGCCAACCAAGCCCAAAATTTCAGCTAAAATCAGACACAGTAATTATCATTTTTTGGACTACCATTCATTTGACCATATTTCTATCACATATTTAAGAAAAAATGGGATATGGAAAAAGTGGCAAGATAACATATGGCAAGAAAAAAATCCTTTCATGAAGCCTCTCAAGGCCAATGTCGAGACATTGTCCTTGGACTATCCCTGGGTTGTGATCACAAAGATTCCTAAGTCCTATCCTAAACATACTGAACCAGAAATTCTTAGGGATGGAGGCTAGATGTCTGCCTTAATGTAAACCAACCCAAGCACACAGCTGGAAAGAATGAATGCTACACTAAAAAAGGGGTTAATCAAGTGAAATTTAAAACTAAATATATAGTAATAATAGGTCATACAAATTCAGCTTTCAGAGTTTGATTCCTATTTTTTTCTTAATGGCCACTTTATCTTCTGTTCTTCATTACTTTTAACTTAAGAATACACAAGCATCTACCTACAAAAATACCTTTCTTTTATTACTTCTTAACTGAATGCCTACTGTGAACTAAGCACAAAAATATACTTCAGGAATTCAGTCTAGCCCAGGAAACATATATAAAGAGACAAATTATAACCCAGTATCAAACCATGCTTAGAAGTTTGGATCTTAACCAGACCTTCCCTAATTTCTTACAGGCTCTCAACATATGTGTATGACTTACTTCTATTTAGTAGAGATAAGCTCTCAGTGCTATTTATAAAAATTTTAAATGCTCCATTGTTTACTTTCTTTTATTTAAGTATACATCTTTTTTTTTTTTTGGAAAAAGGGGAACACTTTTTGAAATGATTCAAAACCTTGGTTACTTACTTTCAAAATAGATTTATCCAGATTTGCAGGGCCACCAGAATCATTTGTAGAATTAAAACTATAAATTTTGGGACCTGTATATAACAGACAACAAATAGTCAAGGCAATTTAATAATACCCACTGTGCTATTTTAATTTTCCTCTAAAGATTGCTAAATATTAAATAGTTGATTTCAGTTTTTCCCCTCATACTTCACCAAATAACTCCATCTAGTAATACCTCCTCTAAATTGTCAACATTTTTCCAATTAGCATTTCTGTAGGTTAACCAGTTTCTGCAAATGCCTATATATCTTTTGGGTTAAATTTATCTTCATCTTCATATTTTTTAACCAGATACTTTTCTTCCTGGCACTTAGCTGAGGCAAGACTTCAGAGGAATCAGGGAATCCTGCTGCCACATTCAATGGGTGGCAATCAAGGTCCCTAACAGTGGATGTGTTTTCATTTTAATCAATATCCTGAGGAACTAAAGCAATAATGAAATCTTACCAAACTTATCACCAATTAAATCAGTTAGCCCCTATCATTTTCAAATTCTTCCTGAAACATGTTTATATACAATTTTTAACCAGCATGAATAAAATCTCCAGAATTTGGAATGTACTTTTAATAATTTTTGAAGGAAATCCTTCTAAAATGTATTTATACTTCCTGCCATAGTATAGAGTATAAT